CCCCGTCCCCGCGCCCCCTCCGACCCCCCCACGGCTCCCCGGGCCCCGAGGGCTGGGGCGAGGGTGCGCAGGAGGGGGTGCCCCTCCGCCCGCGGGGCTGGGGAGGGCGGGGGAAGGCTGGGGAAGACTTCTGGCTGCAGACCTTGGTCTGGCGGGTGGGTAGTGGCTGTCTGGGTGCTCTCACCACTTTGATGGGTCTCAGGGAAGTGATGCTGTCGCTTCTCCGGCTGTTGGTCCAGGAGTCCCAGCGGGGGTACTCCCCCTTCTCAAACACAAACTGCTCCCCTTTGCAGCTTGCCTGCTCGTAGCCCACCCAGCTGGAAGAGAGCAGGGAACGCGCTTTAGCGGGGGCAGCGGAGCGGGGATCGGCCCCTGGCACCGCCCCCGGCGAGCGCCCGGGCTGAGCCCCAGCCGTGCCCCCGCTCCCTGCCGGGAAGGGAGAGATGCCAGGGAGGTGCCAGGCGGGGCTGCGGTGTCTCAGCCCAGCACTGACACCGCAGGGCTTCCCGCTGGGGATGCTCCGAACTGGTGGCCATCAGTCCTTGGTCCCTGGGGACTCACGGGATCACCCAAATATCCCAGCTGGGGTTGTGCTCCTACCAGCTGTCCCTTTGTTCTGCGAGCAGCACTGCTGGGTGCAGGCTGGGAACACTCCAGGGGCTTTTCGGGGGCTCTCCCTTGCCCGGAGCCCGTGGCTTGGAGAGCACACACAGGGCCAGCAGGTGGGGAGAGGGCACAACGGGTCCCAGTCTCACCTGTCCCCGCTCCCAAAGGGAGGGAAACCAAACTGGGGGCAACGCTGTGATCTCTGCCCACGCTCACACCCCTCCACTCTCCTGCCGCTGAGCGGGGCTATCAGCCTGTCTAGGCGACAGTGCCACCCCCTGTTCACCCACTGTGTCCCCCTGCTCACCTGCTGGCACCGGGCACTCCCTGGGGTGAGGCGGGCGAGCAGCTCAGCCGCGCTGGCCACAGGAACCCCGCGCTGCGATGCGGGAGCGGCAGCGGGGAGACCCCTCCTCCCCGGCCCCCTCCCTCCGTCCCTCCCAACCCCCGCAGGCCCCCAGATCCCTCACGTACGGTCCGGAGTGCACCAGGATGGAGCCCACTTTGTCCACGCCGGCTTCCTTCAGGTTGGGGCAGGCCCCGCTGAGCTCATGGCAGCGGCCCTGGAAGTTCTCCTGCTCGAAGATGGCAATCTGCAAGAGAGCAGCACCTCAGCACGGGTGTCACCCTCCCTGCCACCGCTACGGAGGGCACACGCTGTCCCCAACCAGGGGCAGCGCATCTGCAGCAGCCCAGACTTCTCCCTCTCCCAAAACTTCACTCCAGAGGTTTTTCAGGAGCCTGCAAGTGCAAGGCACCGCTGCCACCCCTCTGAGGGTGCAGGTCTCACCCACGGGTGCCCTCGAGGCCCTGCCAGCTCTGTCCCAGAGCCTCGGGATTCCCACGCTCACAGCGGGCATCAAACAGCTGAGGGACTCTGGTTGTGGCTGTAGCACCGCAGCCACCAGAGGGACACGGCGACCCGGACACCCCGGGACAGCTCAGTGACAGCCCCAGGGCCATCAGCCTAGCCCAGATCTCAGGGGTCAGCGGCAGTGGTGGGAGATCAGCACTTGATCTGTTCCCAGCCGCTCCACCTGCCCGGAGGCCGAGGGATGCCAAAAAATTTCCCATTCTCCATCCCCTGGTCCTGCTGCAAAGGCTCAGCAGCGCTGCCGGCCGTGCCTGGCACCAGCCGGGAGTGCCGGCAAGGGGAGCTCGGCTGCTCCCAGCAGTGCCTCCGGGTATGATTTGGGCACCCAGAGAGGCTGAGGGTGCCCTGGCTGCGGGGCTGGGCAGTCTCCCACTGACCTTGGAGCTGGCTTGCTGCTGCTTGGAGGCTGGCATTTGGTGCTCGGAAGCCATCATCAGCTGGGTTGTCTGCTGCCTTGGGAGGGAAACTCAGCACGTTAAAATCTGCCCCTGAGGCCACGCTGGGGACCCTGCTCAGAGCTCCGTGTCCTCTGTCCATGCCCCCATCTGTGCCCTGCAGTTTGCCCAGGGAAGGGGGTGGTGGGACCAGGGCTTGCAGCAGGATGGGCTCAGCCTGGGGGTGCCAGGGACAAACTCTGCTGGGGCTGCTCAGCACCCCAAACCTCCTCAGGCTCAGGCAATGGTCCTTGGGACCTGCCTGGGGTCTCCAGCACAGGGAATCGGGAGCCTAGGGAATTCCTAAATCATTCCCAGTGGAGCCCAGGCCCTGTGGTAGAGGATTTCCTGCTGTCCCTGTCCAGCTGAGGTCCCAGTCCCACGTGGGTGTGGAAGGGGTGATGGAGAGAAGCACTGGGGCTCCCCAGCCAGCCCCAGCCCCAGGAGCCTGTGCCGAGCCCTCCCGACCCAGCCTGGCACTGCCACTCCCGGGAAGGAGCCCCGTCCCCAGGCCCAGAGGGACCCTCAGTATCCGAGCAGCTCCAAAAGAGGTGAAAACTCGTTCCTGACAAAAAGAACCGGAGCCGTTGATGGGTGGCTTTGGGCTGCGGGGACAGGACTGTCCCCGGCTCAGCCGCTGCTGGCACCGGGAAGGGACCCGGGCCCCGGGGGTCTGCAGGAGGCTACGGCAAAAGAGAGGACAATAAATAGCAAAGTCTTACCAGTTATACCAGTACCCGCTTGAGCCAGTGGCGGGCTGGGGCCGGGAGGTGGAATTTATACCGAGCTGCAGCAGAGAGGTGCCAAAACTATTTACAAAATAGTTAAAGCCTGATTCAAAGCGAGAATGCTGGATTAAACCCCAATGAAAACCAGGGTCAGCTGATCCGCCGCAGCCTTTGTCTGCCCGAGCACCAAGCCCGAGTTATTTCATTACCTGTCACATTCGAGTCACCCGCTTTGTCGGGCTGGTGGCGAGGAGATTTGGAGTTTGCAAGCATCAGCCGAACGCGTGCCAAGAGCCGGGGCGAGCCGGGCCAACAAAGCCCCGCCAGCCCCGCTTCGGGCGTTTCGGGGCCAGAGACTTGATCCCCCCGAGAGCCCGGCAGCCGCCGCCGGAGCTGCTGAGCTCGGCTCTTTCCATGCGCGATAAAACGCCCCGGAGCGCTGGCAGCGTCTGGCTCTGCCCGTCTGCAGCCCGGGATGGGCAGGGGCTGCGGCCGCTCCTGGGGCAGGGCAGAGCCCGGGCAGCACCCTGGGCCTGGGGTGCACTCAGTGATGGGTGTTGGGCTCCTTTGGGGTCCCTGAGAAGAACCCCAGGGGCCCCTCGGTGACACCAGGACAAAGCTGAGGTGACGAGGGGCTCACAGTCCCCAGGGCTGGGATGTGCCTGGATGGGCAGCACAGCCAGGGGGGCGAGGGCAGCAGCAGGGTCCCTTTGCTGGCTTTGTCCCTTTGCTGGCATTGTCCTTTTGCTGGCTTTGTCCCTTTGCTGGCGTTGTCCCGGCAGCTGAGCCAGGCGGCTGCACAGGGCTGGGGGCTGCAGCAAAGGAGGTTTCACAGAGAGGGGACACTGCTGCTGCTGTGCAGCACCCACAGACCCCTTCACCCCACAGAGGAGCTGGATTTCCCCCCTGTCACCCCAGCAAGCGTCACCCAGCATGAACAGACCCCACACCTGCCCCTTCCCTCAAACAGCACCTCCTGAGGGTCCCACAGCAGGAGATGGGCTGCAGCCCCCCCAGGGTCACCTCTGCCACATCCCCTGCCCCAGGATGGCTGCACACAGGGTCACCCACAGGGTGCTGTCACCAGAGCCTACCCTGGTAGTGATGTGTGTTGGGGGGGTCAGTCCCCAGGGTCTGCAGCTGCCCCAGCTCCAGGTGATGGGGTATCCAGGGCCAGAGGGACCAAGGTGACCTTGCAGCTCTGCAAGGAACCCATCAGGCCATGGACAGGCCAGGGTGTGATCCAGTTTCCAGCATTCCCAGCTCTGGAATCCTCCTTTCTTGCCTGTGTCTCCTGCTGCAGCCCCACAGATGGATCCAGTATTGCCCTCCCCGTCTCCTGGGTTAATCCATTCAGTTAATCCCACACCCTGGACCCTCATGGGCCTGTCCCACGTCCCAGTGCAGCCCTGCAGCCACATCCCATCCCCTCAGCACCTCAGCACGGCGCTGTCTCAGTGCTCAGCACAGCCCCAGTGATCCCCTCCCTAGGCTGGGCTGGTTTAGCTCATCCCAGCCCTGGGCAGTGGTGGTGCCTCAGCCCCCAGCCCGTGGCAGCCCTGTGGAATGTTCTGGAAGCAGCTTCTGCCACTGTGGAAGGCACTCGCCTTCCACAGCCACCAACCCCCCCAAAAAGGGAAAAGCTCCTGGGGGGTTGCTCAGGGACCTGCACAAAGCCCTCGGGGGGACTCAAGCCCATCTCCCCTCTCTGCCCCAGCCCAGTGGGTCCCCACGTGTGGCCACAGTGCCCCTGGGGAAGGGCAGTGCCAGGGCAGCTCAGTGTCCCACCAGCACCCTGTGGCACCCCTGAACCCCCACCTCTGCTCCCAGAATAGCCCCCCCATGTCAGAGCTCATTCCCGTGGGAGAAACCACCCCAGGACTGCGGGAAACTTCCCTGGGGACAGGCTGGAGACCCTGCAGGACGCTGAGGTGGGGCACAGCTGTCCCACCACGGGATGAGCCCCCCTTGGAGCGCACAGGGCCTGGCACCACCCAGGGATGGCTGCTCCACATCCCCCCGGCCCCTCCCTGCCCTGGAGCTGGCCAGCAGCCCTGGGAGCGGGCAGGAGATGCTGTGAAAAGGGACAGAGCCACTGGAAAAACCCTGACGCGGCAGCACCGGGCGTTATTTTTGGAAAGCTGCAGCCTTTGTGTAACACTGCAAACACTGGCACTCCCCCTCTGCCCTCTGCGGGGTTGCTGGGCACGGCCACGGCCACATCCCCATCCCCATCCCCATCCCCATCCCCATCCCCATCCCCATCCTCATCCCCATCCCCATCCCCCTGGCCCCCTCCCCGACCTCCCCCAGCCCAGGACCAGGCAGGCCCCGGCAGCCTCCAGCTCAGAGCTTTATTGAGGTTTTTGCACAAAAATCACCACGGTCACGGCAGCGGCCGGGGGACCCCGCGAGGGCCCCGGGGGGGGCTGGGGGTCCCTCAGCTGTTCTCGAAGCAGCCCCGCTGGTGCCACTGCTGGTCCCGCACGCGGCGCACCGACTGGATCAGGGGCTGGTTGGCGTCCCACTCGTTCCAGTGCCGGTACTCGCCCTTCTCAAAGACGTGCTGGCGGCCCCGGTAGCCGGGGTACTCGTAGCCCACCCACCTGCGGGGACCGAGGCAGTGCTCAGCAGTGCCCACCCCACACCCCCCAGAGCAGGGGCAGTGTCCCCATCCCCATCCCCGTCCCAGTGTCCCCATCCCAGTGTCCCCATCCCCATCCCAGTGTCCCCATCTCTGCCTGCCACAGCCAGGTGACGCTGCCCAGGGCCACTCCTGTGTCACCAAGTGCCACCGCACAGGCTGCAGCTGCAGTGCCCAGGTGGGAAATGCTGTGCTAGGAGGGGATGGAGAGTTCAAGGGACCACAGCTCCACTGCTCTTTGGTGGGTTAGGGCAAGGAGCCATCATCCAGCCCCAGGGACGCTGCCATGGTCCCTATGACTCCCTGTGGGCCAGAGAAAAGGTGGCAGCAGGGAAGGAACGAGGGACACGATGGGCACAAGCAGCACCATGGGAGCAGCTGCCCCGCTGCAGTGACTGTGCCAGGTGCCCCTGCCACCACCCTGGAGGGACCAACCACAGTGCCACGGGCAGGAACCTGCTGAGGTGTCCCCTGTGTCCCCATCCTTACGTTCCATTCAGGGCCTTGACGCTGGCCACACGGTCCTGGAAGCCGTGGGCCCAGAGGCTGGGCACGTCGTCATCCACGATCTCCATCTTGCGCCCGGTGTAGCCCGCGTTCTCAAACAGGTGGATCTTGTGGTCAGCGCTGTCCTGGGGGAACGGGCGGGTCAGGGGCTGTCCCCTGATGGTCCCCAGCGCTGTGGGCACCCCAGCACAGCCCTACTCACAATCTGGAGGGGCCGGATGGACATCAGGCTGTCGCTGCTGTGGCTGTTGGACCACGAGTCCCAGCGGGGGTAGTCGCCCTTCTCCAGCACGAACTGCTCCCCGGCGTAGGCCTGGCGCTCGAAGCCCAGCCACCTGCAGGAGCCCAGGGTCAGGGGGATGCTCTTCCTGCCACCTCCTGGGGCTGCTCCACCTTCCCCACCCCAGACTTACGGGCCAGACTCCACCTGGATGGAGCCCACCTTCTCCATCTCCTTCTCGGTGATGTTGGGGAGCTCCTCTGTCAGCTCACACCTTTTCCCCTGGAAATTCTCCAGCTCGTAGATTGTGATCTAAGGTGGGGAGAGATGTTGTCAGCCACCACAGCAGGGGAACACCCCAGGAAATGGGGGCAGCAGTGATCAAAGGGCTCTGGCAGTGTCCCTCCATCCCATCCTGTGCCAATGTCACTCCCTGCCCGGCAGAGCTGAGTCCTGCCAGTGCCTCTGCCCTGACAGAGCTCCGGCCAAGGGTGTCTGTTTGGTAAAGCACAAGCTGGAATTTTGTCCATGACAGGCTGAAAACCAGATCACACACAGCACTGGAAACAGAAGGTTTGGGCTAAGAGAATTCCTGAGCCATGGGCTGCCTCTCCTACCCCCAGCCTGGTCATTGCCCATTATCATTTCCTTATCACTGCTTCCTCCAGATCTGACCATGCCCTTGACCTGGCTTGGCATGAGCTCTTTATTCAGTGTTTCCTTCTAAGCCCTGCCAGGTGCAGAGACCCCAGTGCCTGCCCAGGCTGCCCTGCTCTCAGCAGAGCCTCGAGGCTGAGCTGCAGGATGGGCTGGAGCCAGTGCCAGTGGCCAGAGCATGGCATGGGGCAGGGCCCAGGGTGCCCAGCACCATTCAGGGAGCAGGAGGGCCAGTGGGGTGACCAGGCACCCCCTGGCACTGTCCCAAAGGGGTCCCAGCTGCAGCACCTCAGTCTGGGACAAGGGCAGAGCCTCCTGCACACACCACATAATGGGGAAATCAAGGGACAGAGATGATACCCAGGTTCCTCAGGAGCAAATAAACAATAAACAGCCCCAGCTCCTGGCACCCCTCTCCCACTGGCAGGATCTGCTCCCACCTTCAGCCTTCCCTGTCCAGGAGCTTTGTGGAAAGCTCTGCACCCACTGCATCCTCTGCAGCTGAATTCCAACCTGCAAACACACGTGGGGAGTTTCAGTGCCTGGGCCCATAGCTGATCCTGCTGTGCTGGGATGCTTCTTCTCCTGGATTAAATCCCTGGGCAGCTGCACACCAGCCTGGCCAGCCAATGGCCTTGGCAGCCTCGCAGGCAGGGAGCAGTGTCCCTCCCACAGGCAGCAGCAGCAGATCCCCAGCCCCAGCTGCTTCCCAACCTGCAGCCCACCCTGGGCTCCACACCAGAGCAGGGCCACCACCCACTGCTGCTGTGGGAGCTGGAGGCCACTCCTGTCCCCAGCAGCACCTGCAGTGCTGGCACTGGTTCCAGCCTGGCATGAGCACACCGCATCCCACGGCTCCACCCAGCCTCCAGATGTCCCCAGTACAGCCCAGTACAGCCCAGTATACCTTGTAGTTGCCACCTCGCTCGCCAGCACCCTCCCCAGTCACCATCTGCTCGGGGGGACTTTGCTGCTCGGTCATTGTGCCTGGAAAACCCAAATTGCAGGAGGTTAAGGCGGGAGGCACCGGGATTTACGGCTGGTAATGAAACACAGAGGATGAAGCTGGCTCAGAACAGGCAGCAGGGGTTAGCACAGACCCCGATGCAGCAGCTGTAAATCCCCAGGGGCGTCCAAGGTAGCAGCAAGCTCTGTTATCCATCCTCCTCTCCCTCCTGCACACAGGCCCCAAATCCTCACCCAGGCACCCGCAGGACTGAACCAAGGCACGTCCCAAGTGACACGGATTCATTCCTCTGCCCAGGGCAGCTCACCCAGCTGCCACTGACCTCCCATCTCACAGCCCCGCCTCTGTTCCCAGCAGGAATTTCTCAGCTTCCAGCTGCTGACATCTTTCCCCACAACATAAATCTGACACCTCTCCCTTGCTCCAGCATCCCAGGGGACACCAAACCCGGCAGCTGGAGCTGCTGCAGCCGCCTTGGCCGGGGGGAACAGCAGTGAGAGCCCCCTCTTCACTCTCCAGGAACATCCACAAAACTCTGCTCCAACATTGGAACACGCCTTCCCCGGCCACGCCACGCTGCCAAGGGGCTTAGAGGAGTTTGACAAGGTCCTGAATCAAACCCTGCAGCTTCACTTCTGGCCAAACCCTTCGCTGGGGGACTCAGGCACACAAACTCTTTGGAAAGCCCCTTGCAGTCCCAGCAGTGCTACCTCTCCGTGCGGTTCCGCTGTGCCGGGCGGCGCGGGCGGCCCCGCTATTTATGGGTTGCTTCTGAACAGAACAGCAGAATTCCCCGAGCGCTGATGCAGCAGCTGCATCCACGGAATTCCAGCCATGAGATTTCCTCTCAATAGCGCGGGCGCGCAGCGGGCGATGGAAACGTCATGCGGATTTCTCCCGGCCGTCCCTCGCACACGGGCCGCTCGATTTACAGAAGATTAACGTCGAAATTCACATCAGCACGTTCACGCCGCTTCTTGCCAGGTTCTCTGGAAAACTCTGCCGTCAGCAGTTCACCGGAGGGTTTAGCCTGGAAACCGAGGGCAGCGCGAAGCAAAAACCGGGCAAAATGTCCCCGATTGTGAGGGCTCCACGCAAGGAGTGACACAGGGCCGGGGTCGGCTCCGGGAGCGCGGCGGGAAGCTGGAGCAGCTCAGCTTTTCCAGACTGGTGTTCCTGCTTTGACTTCGGCCCTAAGCAGGTTCTCTCCATGGAGTTCCTTTGCTTTCTCTGCCCAGCATTTCCCAGGAACATGCTGGGAATGCATCCTGGGGTGTGTCACAAGGGATTTCTGGAGGCTGGCACAAGGATTTGTCCATCTTCACAGGCACAGGGCGATGTAAGGCATCCAACTGGGAGCATTTCACACCAGGCACCAAACTGGGAGCATTCCACTCTGCTGGTAACAGGCCAGACTCTCTCTTCACCTCTGAGAGTCCCTTCAGACCCAAACCATCCTGATTCCTCAGGGAATATTTTATTCAGCTGCACACATCCCCATTTACTACAGTCCTTGCAAGTTTTTCTACCTGCTCTGAGTGTGGCTCATCTTGAAACCAACAGCTACCCACAAAACCTTTAGTGTGAAAGCCAGGAAAGTGAATCCCCTGGGCCAGGCTGGACAAACTGAATGGGAGAGGGATGGAAAAAATCTCTCCTGCAGTTTGTGTTAGAATGAAGCCCTTCAGCCCCACCCCATCCCTGCCTCGCTGGGTGATGCTCCAGGCCTGGTGTGACAGGGATCACCCAGGTGTCTCCAAGTGACTCTTCCTCACTCTGCCCATCCTGTGGTTCCTGATGAAGATTTGCTGTCCCCATCCGAGCTGTCCCACAGGTGCCACAGCTGAGGAGGGACGGATTCATTTCTGTCTCACCAAACACAACATCAGCTGTCCTCAACAAATCAGAAACAAAGAATTTCTCGTGCCAGTCCCTTCCTTCCCAGCAGCCTCATTCACCGAGCTCTGCCACAGCCTCAGGGCCCTGGATCTGCCTCTCCCAGCTCTCCACACCGTCAAGGCAATTCCAAAAACATGACAGAAGGGGCGCTGGACCTCCTTGATGCCTCTTCCAAACAAACCTCAATTTCCTCTCGCTGTCAGCCTCTTAAATCCCTTTGAAAAACGACTGTTAGAAAATAGATTTTTTTTTTCTTAATACCTGGCAAAGCTAAACTGGAACTGAAATGGTACAGAACAAAACAGAGCAGCCAGAATATCTTTATTCCCTAGTCAACTGTGTAACACAAAATATAGGATTTCTATCACACCACCTATGTGATTTCTATCTATGTATTTATTGTGACCCAGATTACAGACTCCATAAGGCTACAAGGAGCAATGTAAAAGCTTAACCTCCACAAGAGCTCCTTCAAAACCAGATTTGATACCATTTTGTTTAATATGGAATGAGAAAAACCCATAAACCACCCGACCTTGGATCTCCTCCTCTGCCAATCCCACCAGAAGAACCAGAAGTTTTTTCAGGTTATATTTTTGCAATACATTTATTCTCGGGTGAACAGGACAGCCATGGAACAGCTCACCAGCAGCTGGGGAAGGATTCCCACCCTCCATCCTTCTCCACTCCCAGGGTGAGCAGAGCTAGGCCTGGACTCTGCAGTCCCTGCCAGAACACCCCAAATCCCTTTAAAGCTCCATGGAGGTGGCTTCAAACAATCACAGGATTATTTGGGTTGGAAGGGACCTCAAAGCTCATCTCATTCTGCCCCCCTGCTCCCCCAACCTTCCACTAGACCAGGTTGCTCCAAGCCCTGGCCACAAAGGTCTTCACCTCCTGGAAGTCCATTTTTAAAAGGAATTAAAGCAAATACCTGTTTTCCTTCTCAGCACTGGGCTGAAGGGATGGATCCAACACTTCCTCACTTGGCTGCAGCTGCTCTTGCCCCAGTGTCCTTCAGGGAGGTGCAGGCAGTGACCTTGGGCTGGCAGGGAGCACAGTTATGGTGACAGCTCTGGATTTCACTGGAATAGTCTGTTTTACCCCCAGAGCTGGCTTGGGGACAGCAGTGACAGCTCTGGGTACTCACCCCAGAGGTTCTGTACCTGGATACACCTCGTGAGGCAGAGCCACCCCCTGAGTTAGCACCCCAGAACTGCCCAGCTGCCCCTGAAACACACCATCCCTGCAGAAATCAGGATTTGCTGCTCCAAACCTTCTACAGGTCACACTTGGTATTCCCAAATCTGCCCCACGTGCATTTCAGTTTGCAAACAAGGAACAGGGTGAAACAAACTTCTGTGGGAAGGAAAAGGGGATGGAGTGTGGGAGTTAAGTCCTATGGAAAGTCTGGGGATGTCAAAGGTTGGAGAACCAAGCATTGCTTCTTTCTCTACAGGAAGTGAAAGGCTCTGGTGGATGAGGACCAAACTGAAGATGTTAAAAAGGTGAATCTGCAAACAGAAAAATGAAAAAAAAAGAAGAAATCTACAACTGGGAATTCCAATAAAAACTGGAATGGAGCAGGTGTGCAAGTCCCTGGCACGCCACCTGGAGCAGGGATAGCTGGGGATCATGAGAGGAGGGCAGGCAGAAAGTGTTCCTGAATTCCACAAAACACATCATCCCATCTTTAAACCCAATATTGATTTTTAAGCAAGGAGAAGGAAGAACAGCTGAGGAGCTGTGAGGGGAGAGACAAAGGACATGACAGGCCCTCCATCACCTTCAGCATCACTTTTTGGACAAGAGCTGAACCTGCTCCAGGGCAGGATCCAGGAGTGAAGGAAGCAGCACATCTGAAGGAATCAGAGCTCACTTCCATCTCAAATAAACAGCAGGAAAAAGCACATGGCAACAGAAGTGAAAGCACAAAAAATTCCAAGAAGCATTATTTGGAATTAAAATAGAATTATATAAAGTGTATTACAGTCTGTTCTATCATTTAGGTAATAACATATTTATATATCTTTTATTACAGAGCGATAACCCGAAGAGAAGGAAGTCGATATTTAATCCATGTACAATATAAAGAAATAACAGAGCAGAAAAAACACTTTCCCATTCAACAACATTCTAAAGATGCTCTTTAATTAGACATTTAAGCATTAAACATTTCTCAGTAGTAGGTTAAACTACTCAATACAGTAATTTCAGTGCATTGTCCAAGCAGATGTGGAAATGCAAACACATTCAAGGGCTGTGTGGAAACCTCGTGTCAACCCCCTCAGTTTCCTCAACACAAACAGTTACAGAATTTCTGGCCTAGACCAAGAACCAGTAAATCCTCCAACTGCTGGGAACACAACACTGTCACCCGTGGAAGTGGAAAATGCAGCCTGTGTGGATGTTCCTGTGAGCAGGGACTGATTTCTGGAGATGGGAGGCGCCACTTGACGTGAGTGAGAACAGCCACCATCATCATCCTCCTCGCCTGCACCTGCTGCTCCGGCTGGCCCAGGTGAGTGCCACACACCACGGAACCCTTGGGTGCTGCCACAGGAATACACCCCAAAAAACACACCAAGAGTCACCTTTTCCACCACCGTCTAAAGGAGAGGGAAGGAAATTTGTGCAAGGTTTTAAAAGGAGCTGGTCAATGGTGGTGGCTGCACTGACACAGCCCACCCCCAAAATTCCATCAGAATCCTGGAGATCACTGCTCTTTGGGGAGCAGAGGGGCTGCCAAAATAACAGTGGCAACAGCTCCCATGAGAAACAGGGCAAAGCAACAGGGAAAAGACTTTTACATCAGACAGATGTCTCCATCTCATCTCCAGGGAGCACAGGGAGCTGCCACCGGAATAAAATCCGGGAGATGTGCAGATGGGACTTGTCTCCTGCCATCCTGCTGCTATTTCATCCTGCTGCTATTTCCTGCAGACTGGGACTGCAAAGCCCCCCCTGTGACTCCTCCATGAGGTGAATTGGCACATGGTTTTGGCAGCTCCAAGCCTGACAGACATTGGCCTGGGCAGGCCCCGCGGGAGCCGCGCTCCCAAAACGCTAATTGGGAAAAAAAAAAAAAAAGACAAAAAGGAAAAGGAGCTGAAGTGCTGGTGCTTTATGGTTTTTATCCACAGGAGCCCCTCAGCAGGACGTGGGAGTGCAGCCCAAGGAGCTCTGCCAGGTGAGGAGAGCTCTCCACTCTCCTTTTCCCTATTCCACGTTCTCCTGGTTGAGCCTGAGGAACACCTGGAGTCACCTCCCTCCCTGGGCTACTAGACTTTCAAAGGTTTCTGAAAGAGCACTTATCTGGGGCAAGAATCGAGTCTGTCTTCCATGGCCATGGTGGTTGGTGTTTCAGAATGAGCCACAGACAGGGAATATCTGAGAATTAGGGATACCCAAACACCCGTGGGGTCCAGGAGATCTCTACTCCGCTATCAGCACATCTTGCCAAAGGAAAGACAGGAAATCATCTGAGAAACTGAAGATCACATTTAGGTTATCCCACAAAATCAACATAAAAATAAAAACTTAAACTTGGTATTTACAGATTAACAAATAAAAATATGAAGTGGGACTATTTGAACTGCTATTAAAGTGACATTCAACAATTAACTGGAACCCTGATATGAGTGTAACATCCTCCCTCTTCCCTTCCTTTTTTGTTATAAAAACAGTATTTACATATTTTTACTTTTTTTTTTTTTTTTAAAGAGAACTGGTTGACATTATTGCTTGATCCTTTTTAGGAAAGACATTCCAATGAAGCAATTATTCCACATGCTGACAAAACACAGAATATACCACTTCAAGAGTGACAAAAGTTAACATTTTGTTCATCTAAAAATTATCTCCATCTGCCAGGTCAGCAGATCACATGTAAATACAAGCCAATCAAAAATACATTTTACAAAAAATAATCAAGTTTCCTTTTTCAATATGGCAGTAAACATGATTTGTTCTTCCACTCTCACCTTCCACAAATTTCATTCTAAATAGGAGCTTACTATTTGTTCACAAAAAAAAAAAAAAAAAAAAGATAAATTTGATTAAAATTATTATTTTCATAAACAAACACAAAGCCCAGCCAGACCAACTCCCAGAGGTGAACACCTACAGAGTCTGTTCCACAGCAAGGGGAGTTCCCTGGATCACAGCACTCCCAAATTTCTCTGTTTTCCAAGACTTTCTGAAGTGCTAACTGTGACCCAGGGGGGTTCTCCTGGCAGGCAGCTCTGAAGTGCCACTGTCCCCCCGAGCTTACAGACACAGCTTTGTATTTGACTATGAATTGAAGCAGCTTTTCTCCACAAAACAGGAAGGCACCATGCACAGAGCAGTTGAGGCAGGAAGCAAACAGCAGCAACATGACATGGGGGTTTAGGTTCAGATGAGTTAAGGCTTCTGTTAAACTTCTTTATCTTCTCCCAGTTAGAATCACTGTCTGCAAAGGAAAACAGAAGGAAGGGTGTGATATGGTCAGCTGGAACAGGAACCCCTTAAAATGTGTTTTCTGTTGTAGTGCCACCTTGGTTGTGTCTATTTAATGCATTAAATGCTCAAGAGCCACCCAGAATTGTGCTGAAACCACACAAAGTTTTCAAACTTTGGGAAATCCCAAGAGAGGAGGGTTATGGAAATCAAATGATGTGCAGAGGATCAGTGGAACTGTGACTGGGGGTGGAGGGGCACCAGTTCCTGACAGCCCTGGTGCACAGGGCAGTGTTGGTGGGGCCACAGTGGTGACACCAACACATCAAAGGAAATGTGAGTTTGTCACTGCACACCTGCACCCACCAAGCCCCACTTCCCACACAAGTACCTTTTCAAACCTGATTCTCATAATGGCTCTGTCTCTTCTTTGATTTCAGCTCCTTCAGCCACTGAGGAGACTTTTCTTCTGACCTATGGTATTAAAAAAAACCAAACAAACAACTCTTTATTCTTTCACTATGAAAACTCCTGCCAGAAACAACAACAACAAAAAAGCAATGTCCAGCTTGTTGCATCATTTTTTCCTGCCACCAAGAAGAGCATGAGCCTTTTCCCGACGCTGGGATTCTCTCACCTGTCCTCCTTTTCCACACTGGAGGGCAGCACTCTGCTGCCGGGAGTGCCGAGCTGTGCTTTGGGGGATTTGAAGAGCTGAGCAGAGCCCATGTCACCAGTGCTCTCAGACTCCTGTCTTTTCCGCAGCTGGGCCTAAATATAAAAATAAATAAAGCCTTTTAAGCTAGCATCCATGTTTTTTTTTTTTTTTTTTGGAATGCAGGACGGATCACTCCAGATTTATAAAAACAAAAAATTGTCCTGAAATGAGTGAGGGAATTCCTTATAAAGCACCTACAGGTACTGAATTGGTTTATCTCCCACCTAGTGGGCTCTGCCTGAGCTCACCTTGAGAACAGAGTGATCCATCCCTGGGAACACAGGCAGTCTCTGCGCTTGCACAGAAGATGACCTCGGAGTGTGCTGGATCCTGTCTTCCTCCTCAGAATCTTCCTGTTGCATAGTTTTCTTCTCTTCTAATTAATTGTTTAAAAAAAAAAAAAAAAAAAAGCAGAGGGGGAAACCATGAGCTGGGCTTTTCATCCCTGCCTTGTTCAACATCTCTTCCTGCACTCAAGCAGCAATGAAGGGCAGTATTTAAAAAGCACCTTTTACCAACTCCTGCCCTTGCACCCAAGGCTAACCACAACCAATTATTCCATCATAACTGAGGGGTTACCTGTGGAATCTTTGAACATCCAGCCATTATCTGATTCTTCTGTCAAGGAAAACCTGTTCTCCATGTCCAGCCCTCTGCTCCTGCGCAGCGAGTGCGACGCGGGTGCCCGGCACCGGCGCTTCTTGCTCAGCTGCACCCGAGTCTTCAGAGCACTGGAGTCCAGGACAGCTGTGTGCTGCAGAAACACACACCTGGGAATGAGCCCCAGCTCCTCCACAGTGAAATCCCAACCCATTGATTGCATTCACCCATTAAAATGGATATTTGTCTGATTATTATTATTGCAGTCACTTAAAATCGTATTAAAGAGAGTGTGCGATGAGGACATGGTACCTTGTGGCTAACTGGGTGTAATCCTTTGACCTCCCTAGGCTGTGGATACCTGAGTTACATGAGTAATTTGGACTAAATTAATATAAAAAATAACTGCAATAATCAGGAGTTTAGTTCCTGGAGTGTTTTATGAATACAGGCCTTGCTAGCTGGTAGTAGCTGAAGGCAAATCCTGAGATGGGGGTCTAAAAAGAACAACTACACAAAATTCCCTTGGAGAGCAGAGCTGCAGCTTTCCTGCCAACCACAAACACTCAAAGCCACTCACCAGCAACAAGGACACTCCAAGTTTAGTGCCCCAGCATTCAGAAACCTTCTGTAATCAGTCATTTCCAATGCATCCAATCAGCACTAACATTTACAGAGCAAAGTAAGGAGCTGTAATTTATTTACTTGCTTAAAGCAATGTGCTTTTACAGGTTTGCCTGTAACCACCAAATATCCCTGAGCCTCCCCTTCTCCAGAAGATGTGGGTTTGCTCCTTTTTTCAAAAGATTTCAGGTCAGGAATAAACTACTTATCACACAGCATTTGCCAGCTGCACTTAGAGCTATTAATGTTTTACAGAGACATCGTTAGTAGCCCAGGGACAAAACAAAA